GATTTTCTGTGTGTAGAGGGAGGGTCAAAGTGAATTTGAGACTAAATAGGCTTTAAATACAATACTGGCCTAAGCTACAGATTTCCAGTATTTTGTGTTTATGTATCTCTCATACAGAGAAAAATTTTTACACAAATCTGTATGTTTGTGTTTATTCCTACATTGCAGTTGTGCACTGCTGCATTAATTTTTCAAGTATATCATAAAAGCCAAATTTTGTAAGATAATAAACATAATCCTACCCCCCAGTGAATAATCTGGGGTATAGTCTTTGGAGAATTGGGGTCCAAGGTATACTAAGGTAGGAGAGTTTTCTGATCAAATACAACAGAAATATGTGTATGTCCTACACTTGTACAAGTAGAAAAAGATTTTGTACATAGAGTACGAATTAAATCATCCTTTGTATGATTTTCTAGTATAAGATTTTAAACTATATTGTGTTGAGAGACGAGTCCTCTTTCAGGAAGGCATATTGTACCAAATAAGGTTGGATTTAAGCAAAAAAGTGTGAAATATTTTTCAGCAACATTTGAAAATTATTTTGTGTTTAGGACTTAATAGTGTTCAATGCCAAAATATTAAATTAATCTAGAATTTAAATTTGTCAGTGTTCTTTGAGGAAAAGGGGAATATTTTGAATTGCAGGAAAATCCTTACTGAATAAAATCCTTGCAGGAAATAATCAAACCATACAGCACAAAATGGTATTTTACCAGAACCTTGGTTACTAAGAACTTTTAAGAGATCATTTAAAACTTCCAGAATCAATCTGTAGGAGACTAAATCTGATTTTGTTGTATTCCTAGGGTGATAAAAGAAAATATGGGTGAGGCTGCTGACGTTCAGCTTCCAGTATAATTCTGAAGACCTCAGACCAGAAATGCCACAGCCGTGTTCCCCTTCAGGTCAGTCAGCACCGTTGGCTGTTTTGTAACAACAGCTCCTGGAAGATCGAATTTTTCTGAGTCTTTGCTACTTGTCCTGGTTCTGGTGACCGCAGCCAATGCAGTGTTCAGTTTGGGTGGTTTTTCCTGTGCTGGTGACTGAATCTGAGGCCACACGCACGCTAGGCTAGCACTCTAACCCGACCCGCACCCAGCCCAGTGTCCTGGCGGCTTGCTGTGCACTGTTCGTGAGTAGTTTCTCCTGGAGCTGGAAACTCTGAGCACCACCTGTCTCCTGCGGAAACCACAGTGCCACTTCCCTTCATCTCTGAGCAGCCTGAGGAGATGGCAGTACCAAGTCGCCCTCTTCCTCCTCCCTGGAAGTAATGTGTGTGTGGATCTGACTTGAGGTAAAACTGGAGTACATAGAGAAATGACATTAAGATGTCTTAGTCTATCAAGTTAGAGGCATATCTGTTGATTTTAAGATTTCAAATGTAGACTCTTTAGCCATGTTCTTTTGGAAAGTGTAATCTTAAAAATGACAGACTTATAAAATCAGATCCATGCTATTTCTCCTCTGCTTTCTGAAAAGGTCCCAATTTTTTATTCTTTTGTTATGCCAAAAATACAAAAATTTATAAGCATTTTACATTGATGTGACAAAATTTTGAGACCTGTCACCCAAATAGATCCAAGATTTACTGTTCTGTTTTTTGATAGGATCTTGCTAGTAGTTCAGGCTGGCGTCAAACGTGTGGCAATCCCCCTCCTTAGCCTCCTGAATGCTGGGATTATAAGCATGTGCTGCCACACCTGGTATAGACCTAGGAATATTACTTTAAAAATACTTCTTCCTGGTCACCTGATCTGGTGATGTCATACCCCTTCTGTCCTGATCTTGCTGCTCCAAGTTTGGTACTGGGGATCAGGTAGTGACTATTGCCTGAGAGCATTTAAACCACTTCCCTGGTGGGTTTTGTACCTTTGAGAAACTTACTGACACTTGCTTTTTTTGAGACAGGGTCTGACTGTGCAGTGCAGGCTGGCCTTAAACTCACTTTGTACCCCAGGCTGGCCTCGAACTCTCAGCAATCCTCCTGCCTCAGCCTCCTGAGTGCTAGGATTACAGGCGTGCACTACCATGCCTGGCTGACACTTAGTTTTCATACTGTGTTTGACACTTGTTTTATCCAGCTTCTTAAAAGTTAATCCTATGCTTTGCTTCTCAGACCCACCCATAGACTGATAGCATTTTTGGGGAACTGGTTGGGAATGCCCATTCTCAGGCCCCATGCCTGGCTACGTAGGAGTGGACTCAAGACTGGGGATGAAGGGGCATGGCACTGTCTTTTTCCACTTTAGAGCCCTTCAGGTAATGGAAGGTTTCTACTAGGAATCACTGACCCAGGATTTACCAGGTAAAATAGTCAATAACCCCAAGTGCCCTTTGAAAAAGGTTTTCATTTTGAATGTTAACAGAATCCTCGTAGCACAACTGTGGATCCTTTCTGGGCAGGCCTGAAAATGTGTATTGCTAACGAGGTCCCAGATGGTGCAGCTTTTTGTTGGGACCACATTTTTCAGACTAACTTTTTATTTCTGTTGTGTGTATGTGCTGCATCAGATTCAGTTTTTATAACAGTAGCATAGACAACTTATTACATAATTAGGGAATGTGTATAGGAGTTCACAGTCAAATACCAGTGGTAGCACACACCTGTACCCCAGCACTTCTGGAGGCTGAGGTAGAAGGATCATAAATTCAATCCTAGCCTCAACTACTTAGTGAAACCAGGTCTCAAAATAAAAAGGCCGTGCATAGCTCAAAGCACAAGGTCCCAGGTCAGTCCTTAGTACCACAAAACAAAAACTATTAGTAGAAGCCACTGGATTAGAGAACATTTTTATAGGTGAAATGAATTAATTCACGTCTAGAGTATTGTTTAGGTCTGCTCAGTGTTTGTAGTGTACCACATTAGTTCACTTAGGACTGGAATCTTTTTTTGTTGTTGGTTTTATTACAAAAGTATACTGTGGATATTAGTTTACTAATTGAGGTTTTCTTTTTCAGGTCAATTCGCTATGTGAGAAATGTTCTCAGTAACCCAAGACAAATGAGCCATTAAACAAGTATGAGTTAGTCTATGTAAGCAATTTATGGAAAAATGATGAATCTACCATTTTAAATATGCCCCAGGGGCATATTTTGTGCAGTTGAAATGGTACAGCTTTGCAGCTGGGCATGGTGACATATACCTGGAATTCCAGCTGCTCGAGGGGCTGAGACAGGACGATTGAGGTCAACTTAGGGCTGAGGATGTAGCTGAGTGGGAGAGGGCTCCTTGCCTATGTAAGGTCCTGGGCTTGACCTTTGCACAAGAAAGAAAGGGAAGGTGAAAGGAGGTAACCTGGCTGTCTTGTGGGAAGAAATGAGCATAGGCCCTGACTCAGGGACGCAAATAAGGAGGGCTCTGAACAGTGTGGCGTGGTGATATGTAGAGCTTATTTTTTTCCCAAAATGAACTGATGCCAAGCATTTGGCTTAGACTGTTGGTCCCTGTGTGCTCCGGATGGACAGAATCAAGACCTCTTTCTAGTGTGGTCCTGAGCCGACAGTGTCAACTCACTGCCTTTCATTCTGCAGTTGACTTAGTGAGGCTCCTCTGTAGCTAACCAGACAGGTCAACTTAGAAACTCCAGCTTTGGCTGCAAGGAGCCACCTGTAAGATAGGCCATGTGGATCCCAGCACTGGGCGCTTACACTGTGGAGCGTGTGCACGGTGTGAGACGTGAAAACATTCAAGGTTCTCTGTCCTGGTGTTTCATGAGTCAGTGCTTCCACAGCCTGTGGGGTGTCCTGCTCTTCCTCCTGGACTGCGCTGGATGCTGACCCCTGTGAGCACTGGCAGAGCACACCCCGGTGCCAGTGCACGAAGCCGGTGGTATAAAGTGAACTCAAGACACAGCTCATGTGGAATCAGATGCTACTCGTTTTAGAATCAAGATGGTATAACAAGAGAATAACGTGTGAGTGGAATGAGATGGACTGAACTCCCCTTCTTTGTGTTCAGCATTTATCAAGCCCTTGCATTTGGCATTTGGTATTGCAGACCGGAACATACATTATGTACTTGGTGGTTAAGCGCTAGGCTGAACCAGGTGTAAGTCATCAATAGCTACCTTAACCTGAACACTCAGTTACCTTTCTCCTCCCCTTCCTGTGCGCTGCGAAGGAATAATGGCAGAATAGGATAACTGAATTGAAAGGTCTGTGGTAACTACTTTCTGCTGGTGATGTGGTCTAGTCAGAAGGCCACCCAGTTCACACCTCAAGTGCATAAGGACTTTGCTTTGGCTGAGAGCTACAGTTTAGGCCTATTCGTAAACCTTTTGGTAAGATGCTGCCTAAGAATTGCTGTTTGCCAGAGAAAACTATTTTATGTGTGTGGTTAAGCAGCTGCATTAGCCAAGAGGATTGCTTCCTATTTAGGACCAGCTCCTCACCAAGAAACACCTTGGGGGAGTGGGTGTCTGGTTGACTTGTCTCCTTCATCCTTAAAACTACCACTTTTACTATTTACTTTCCCCCCAGACACACGCGGGCTTTGTGCCTGGCTGCAGGCAAGGTAAGTGGAGTAGCCCTTCATTATATTCCTGGATATGCGGCTGTCTTCACAGGTGTCAGTGGCACACCTGGGACAAGCTGACAACAGCTCAAGAGGTGGCGTTGCAAGGTGACCTCCAAGGTTCCTGTCCCAGTCACATAACTTGCTAGCTTCCCCACTGTCAGCGCTGCCTCACCCATTCGAAGGTGCTACCCACATTTCTCAGCCTAAAGCCCAAGAACTGTGTGCTCATTTCCTGCTTTGTGTCTTCGCCTTACTTCCTCACTGCAGTAACTGTAGCTGTCTTCTCGTGGTCTCCTTAAGGCTCTTCAAGTTAGACTTAATTTTGATTAACAAACTTTATTTTAAAACTCTTATATCTTACATTGTTCCCTAAAAAGCTATGAAGTCAGACATGGTATTATATTAATATTTATTTACCTCAGTTTAAATGAGAAACTTGTTGTGGTCAGCATTCAACTAGAAAACTACACATTTATTACCCTTGTTTTCAAGTCATGAAATACAAAGTGAAAAGCAGAAAGAATACTGTAGCACAACGTTAATTTAAGGAAGCAGTTCTCTGAACTGTCAGTGTGTGTGGGTGTGCATGGCTTATTTTGAAGTTTTTTTTTTTTTTTTTTTTTTCATTAAAATTGTATTTCATGAGACTAAAAACTACTACTGAGGCCAGGTGTGGTGTTGCATGCCTGTAATCTCAGCACCATGAGGAGAGGCAGGAGCAGTGCCAATTCAGGCCCAACGCAGATGACACAGGACCGTGCCGGGGAAGAAGTGCAGTGACATCCTGGAGTCGGTCCCTGCTGCTGTGTTCACATGAGGCAGCTTTGCAGAATTACCCGGTGAACTTGAAGAACAAGCAAAGAAGTTCTCAATATTCTTCTACAGCTTAGGTTTTTATTTTATCATCTTATCTTCAAAAGGATAAGTTAGAACTGCATTTATACACAAAGGCGTCACCATCTCTATCCTTTGCGCGTAAATACGCACACTCACGCGCACACACAGACAGTCATCCATTGGGGTAGCAGAATCATCCTTTCTTCAGTGCCTGTGCAACCTGAGTAGACCATGCCTCCCTTACCGTATGCTGGTGCTTTGCACCTACATGTTTTTGGTTTTTTACACAGAAATTCACCAAGACTAGTACAAAATTCAGAGTTACTAAATAAAAAAAAAAAAAAAAAAAAAACCTTAATTTTCCTATTACTGTTCCACATTGTGGAAAAAAATAAAATATGCAGTCTTGGTGCAACGCTGAATTTGAGAAGACTGGCACACGTACATCTATATTTTATATATATTAGAGGTACCACATTGATCTCACAGACCAGAACAGATGACAGGCTTAAGAATTTTACACATGAAACTTTACACGTAAAAGCTTTAGGTGCGCCAAAATTCCACACTGCTTCCAAGAGGTCATGTAAGAATTTGAAAGGTCCAACCCAATCCTGTGTGGTCACTGAAGCTGCACTCTGTATGCGCCTATGAGCAGCTTAACCTAGGGAAGGGAGAAACACATGTCAGTACAGAACCACAATTCCTCTCTCACAAAAAACGTGGCCACTTCGTTGAATAATATTTTCAGCCTGGTTATTGATTTACACAGTTTGCTTTTTTTTTTTTTCTTTGTGGTACCAGGGATTGAACTCAGGATCTTACATTTGCCAGGCAGGTGCTTATGCCACTGAGCTATTTCCCCAGCCCACAGATTGCTTTTTTTTTTTTTGAGACAGGGTCTTGCTATGCAGTTCAGGCTGGCCTTGAGCTCACTTTGTAGCCCAGGCTGGTCTCAAATTCGCAACGATCCTCCTGCCTCAGCCTCCGAAGTGCTGGGATTACAGGCGTGTGCCACCATGCCCGGCTCCAGGTTGTTAGTTTAAATAAAAAAGAAATAAAACCCATAATTTGAGTTTGTTAACTACGTTAGACAATCCCATTACTATTTTAGTCCACTCCCTTTCACAAAGAGGCAGTTCCATACTGGAGCCTAGAACAGGTGGCTGAGTAGGGATGTTCTTTGTAGGTTCACTTTCAACCTACCCTACCATGTTACGGGCATCCTGAAACACTAAGCTTGGCAGTCCCCATCTCATACTACAGGTATAGTATCATTTCCAGAGACGGGAGGACACTAGGGACAGTTTGGAATTTTTGTTCTTTTCATGACAAAGGAATCTGCATCAACAATTTGAGTATTAACAGTGAACACAAAGGATTTTCACCTTGGCACCGGGTGCTTCTGTCAACCTTATGAAGAGCTTATTGGGGCCTGGAACAGGGCTGAAAGAGTAAACAAAATGACTATCCTAGAGTGGAAAGAAAACAAAGTGTTACTATTATGGGTTTGTTTGTTTTTTTTTTTTTTCAAAAGATAAAGATCTATACCTTATACCCTTCTGAAATAGACACCAGACCCTACTATGACTTCAGTGGTAGCAAAGAATATAAAATTTTCTTTTTACTTTTCTGTAAAATGAGCTGTCTAAATTTTGCCCTTAACTTATTAAAAAGACACAAATTGCACAAAACAATATCCAGATAAACATTTGGGATTAGTTAGGCGATAACACAAATGTTTACTGACATTATCTAAAAATTAAAGGATGGAATTCTAAATTATGGAAGAATTATATACAAATCCTCAAGGACATTTTCTCAAAATAGAGTTCATACAGCTACTGTCTGATTGTGCATTAAAAATTAATGCATGAAAATCTCTTAAATTTTAAGTAAACATTTGTTACAATGGTGGGAAAGGCCTGATATTTAAAATCAGGCCATATGTTTCTTGTGACCTAAGAATTTATATTAAAATAATGTACAGTACAGTACCACAACTTAAATCTGTCTCATTCCCAGTAACTGGTTCACAGGTCATGCTTTATTTAAACATACGAATTTAAATCATCTGGGCTTTGGATTAGAACAAGTTTTAGCTCTGGACTATAGAAAGTCTTACCAGAAAAACAGGAAGTTGAAATTTATCATTTAAAACTACGGCTTGTACGCAGCATGGTCCACAGAGTCGAGCAATAACTTCTTTACCCAAAAAGTTTGCATGGAAAATAAAGAGCAGGATGCCAGAACCTGAAGAAGGGAGGTGGGAGGGGATTATTACACAGCCACCCTTAGGTCTCTGGGGGCTGTCCATCCAGGAGGGAGCTGGTCCCTGGGAAAGCCTGGCGCACAAGCTCAAGGCTCTGAAAAGGCCACAGCACCTGCCAGTGTGCAAAATCACCTCTTGTCCACGTAACCACTAGTAGCAATTCCTAGGAAAGACTTTCAAATAAATAGGGTATTTTCCACACTGATGATGTTTTAGTTTCTGTCTCTTTTAAAAGTGGCCTTTAAAAGTTGCTGCTGGCCGGGCACGATGGCACATGCCTGTAACCCCAGCACTCAGGAGGCTGAGGCAGGAGGATTGTTTCGAGTTTGAGACCAGCCTGGGCTACAAAGTGAGCTCAAGGCCAGTCTGAACTGCATAGTGGGACCCTGTCTCAAACCGAACAAAAAAAGTTGGACGTTTCTATGGTGGTTTGTTGCTGTGTGACTGGGAGTGGTTTTCTATTTTCTTGCACATATGGGCTTGCCTCTTCCCAATTTTCTCATTAATACTGAAACAAATCTCATTTGGAACGAAAAAAGCATGCAATGTGAAGTTTGTACTACATGTCCAGAAGTATTCTTAATAAAACACAAAATCAGTATGGTGTATGACTTCTTTTACATTAAGGCAACCATTTTTATCCAGGTTAGCTATCCATAAGAGACCTTTTAAGGAACCTCAAAGAAGCACCTATTCTAGTCCCAAGAAAAATGGGTACACAGTCCTACCTCTTCACCTCCTCTGAAGATTCTGGAAGTAGGGTACAGGCTTTGGTTTCTAGCACCACATAGTCACTTTCCCTGCTTGTAGCAGACGGGGTCAAGGGTCTGTACAAAATGCAGGGATGGTCTTGTCTTTCTAAGCTCCACTGTGAAAAAGCTGACAGAGATTTGAGGGTTCCAGGGCCTGAACACTGTTACCGTCTGGGCAGCAAGGCAGAGAGCCCGTGTCACACCGGTGAGTCACGCGGAAACACTGAGAACAGTCATTAAGGCCAGAGTGAGTGCCACCGTGAGGGTAGGGTGTGTAGTCTGTTCTCTTCGACAAAAGCTTGAGTTTCATAGGCAGAATGCAACAGGGGACCCTGGCCAATTTACGCATGGTTTCAGTGAACAGCCAAGCTCTACATTAATAAACGCCCCTGGGATTCAGAATCCCCTCGAGGCTGCAGGTGGTACATCTACAACTCACAGTGCTTGCGAACCACAGTCCTGATAACTGCGAAGGGCTGGGCTCAAAAGGAGCTGGCAGCTGGGCCCAGCTAAAGCTAGGAGACAGACTTCGGGGAGCAGGGCTCAGAAGACTGTCAGAGACTTACATGTAAGCTGCAAGGAATCTGGGCAGAGTAAGATTTAAAATGCAGTAAAAATTTCTGGTGGGTACAGACATGTTCATGTGCTGGGAAAAAACAACCAATCATACCAAATCACAGCAAGTTCGCCAAATTGCCCATCTCAGCAATGCGTACAGTCGGTGAAATTATGATTCTTCAATATTAAGTTCAATAAACATTAAAATGCTACAGATGGCTGTCTTTAATTGGTATTGTTGGGCTGTATTTTAATAAATTTTTCACTAATGAATCAGTATTTTTAAAGGGCGAAGTGGAGATTTCTAACGAAAGAGCTAGAGCCCGGCTCCCTCCTTCGGGCAGAAATGGCACTGCACGCTGCATACGTATGTAGCCTGTGTCCTAGCAAGGCCACAGTCAGGCCATGGACGGAGCTATTCAGAGAGGCCAGGAGCCCAGAGGGAAGTTTCCGTCTCCTTACTGAACTACTCTGGGCAAACTTTTCTTCTTTTTTTGTCTAAAAGGGAAAAGACTATTAGTAATAGCAATGGCTTCAGAATTTTCAAAAACAAGTATGCTTCATGCGTTTTAAACAGGGTTCTGTGCCCCTTCAATGTTGCCTAGGGTGGTGGGTACCGGTATGGTTTCCCTTGTCACAGGTGCTCTGCTGTTAACTATTTTATGTGATTAATACACATGTTAGTACTTCTTTAAAGTTTTGTTTAAATAAAGGTTTCTAAGAATTAGTTAACATTTACAGTGTATACTTCAAACTGAGAAGATTCAGTGTAAAAACAGGCTTACCTTCTGGCATGTTCTGTGGAGGTTTGTAATTGAAATCTGTTGAGAAATCTGGCCCCTCACAGAGTCGATGACATGCTATTGGGAAAACAGGTTCCAGCAGAGCAAGGCGAGCTTCAAAGTAATCCCGGATTGTCTCTTCAGCCACTCTCGAAAGTCTAGTAAGAAATGACAGAAGCCGTTGGCGCACACCACATAGTCATGATGATTACATGTGAACAGCACCTCTACCCTCAGCCGCCTTCTCTGCTTGCTCCCTCTTGCGCTGGCACCTGGTGTACTGTACTGGACTCTGCCTCATGTCCATTTCTCTCACTGTAATTGAAACTGCAAAGGACAAGTCTTTTTCCCTGCTGCTATCTCCATTCTTCCAGCCATTAACACAGTGTCTGAGGCCAGGCGTGGTGGCACACGCCTGTAATCCCAGCACTCAGGAGGCTGAGGCAAGAGGATTCTTGCAAGTTCGCGACCAGCCTGGGCTACAAAGTGAGCTCATGGTCAGCCTGAAAAGTGTCTTGGTTACTTTACTCTTGTTGCTGGGACAAAATACCTGCCACCCAAAATTAAGGAAGGAAAGGTTTATTTAGCTCACAGTTTGTGGCAGTTTTAGTCCATACTTGGCTGGCTTCAAGGCAGAGTGGCATATGGCAGAGGACAGCTGCTCACAGCGGTGGAAAAACAACAAAAGCAACAAGAGCAAAAGGGGGAAACGGCAGCGCCAAGCAGCCTCTTTCCCTCCTTTACCCTGTATGCAAACTACCTGTCCCAGGACGAGTGTAGCACTCACATCCATAATTCCAACAGTGGACCATGAATCAATCAAACTTTAGAAGACTGCCCTGTGACTTCCTGAGGCTTTTGGGGGACATTCAGACACAAAAGTGACCATTACATAACAAATAGAAATACTAAAGAATAGTTGAAAGGGTTTTAAGGAAACGTCAGCCAAGTTAACAGCACACATAATTTGGAGATTTTAGGAAGATACTCATATCCAGGAGTTACTCTGTGTGACATTTTCTAAGACTTCAACAGCATACACAAAAACAGCATGCCACTTACTAACTTTGTGATCTACAAGAACGGAAACCTGTCAGGACACATACTAAATCCTTTTCCTGAGCAGTTACTTCGAGGCTAGTCCAATGACAAGGTGTCCAAATAAAAAGGCTTTGTGATTGAGCTATGGCATATTCACTTTGTACTTACGTCTCTAAGTGGTTCTTCAGCAAGTCGTACACGAGCACATTGTTACACTGCTTTGCAAAATGCAGCGCACTGTTCTGGTGCTTTGACAAAATGTTACAGTCGGCTCCACATTCGATTACAAGCCGAACAATGTCCGAATTTCCTCTTTTACAGGCCTAGGTCAGGGAAAGGAGTGACCATTACTTAAATGATAATAACTATCAGCTTTCACGGGTCCCTCTCTCCACCCAGACCTGGGAGTACTTTGTGAAGACTGCAAAGTGTGACAGAGAAAGGCTGAGAAAACCCACAGCAGGAGTCCCCAGCTGTGCAGCATCACAGACCCGTGCGGGCCTCCCCGACAAAGGACTCTCTCTCCGGGCACTTCCTGCCGCCGCCTTCTCCAGGCTCTGAACTCCCCTCCGCCCCTCCTCCCCTGGTCCTTCCTATGCTTTGGCCTTTTCCACTTTTCCCTTTCTCAGTAGCTGACCCTATTCCCAAGCTCTGGCTACAGTGCGGTCACTCAGAGTGACAGCTCTCATGCCTGAATCTCAACCCACACCACTGTCAGTGCCTGCTTGCCTCTGCTGCCCGTCCCCCCTACCTGAGAACAGCACCACTTCCTGTTCCCACCTTCTGGGACTTCCACCTCCTGTCCAATCCTAGTGCTCCCCACAGGCCCTTTGTGCCTAAGCTCCCACGTTCAGATGTGCCCTGGGCTTCCCCCTGAGGCGATGCTGAAGCACTAACCCTGCTCTGCAGATGGCAGCAGCATGTAAAGGAAGAATGTGGACTCGAACCTAAGCTCTTAAGCAAAAGTGGACATTTCCATCTACCAGAAATTAAAAGAAAAAAGCACTAGGTAAGGCATGCCCATCAGGCTTCAGCCACACTCAGCGTCAGGCTGTAAAACTGCAGGATTCTGAGGCCTGCTACAAAGCTGACACCTGACAGGGTTTCAGGCAAACCCCTGCTTGGTTCATGGATTACATACAGCTGCACAGCAGGAAGAGGCCAGAAAGTCAGAGCCCCCTCTGGCTCAGTGTCTGGGCGTGCTATGTCCTAACGGTGCTGGGCCAGGAACCCAGAACAGCAGCAGCAGCAGCACAAGGCTGGGCACCATGTGGCAAACATAAACCTGCTACACAGAGAGGCAACTAATGGGGTACCCAGGGGCACCAGGAGGCTCCAACCACCTTCCCCTGGGAGCATGTCTGCCAGCCAGGCAGGGTGGCATGTGCTAGTAGTCCCAGCTACTCGGGAGGCAAAGCACTATGACTACAAATTTAAGCCCAGCCTGGGCAACTCAGTGACTTGGCAACACCCTGTCTCAAATATTTAAAATAACAACTTGTTACTCAATGTTAGAGCACAAGCTGGAGGCCCTACTGAACCCTAGCCCCTCACCAAACGTCCAAAAATGTCCAGAGAAAGAAACCTTCAGGTGAAAGAGCAGGGTGCTCAGAGTACCAGAGTGTCTACAAAGAGGGGGAAACCCACTCTACGTGGGTGTGCAGATCCTGTCTGCTGCTGTGCAAATCCTCAATAAATTATCTTTGCGCACTCCTGGATGTGTCCGCAGCTTTCTTGGCATCTTTCAGTTTTGGTGAATGATTCTCACATGCTGGGAACATAGTTCTTCAAAACAACTGCATCCTCCTCTGCTGTTCTAGTTCCTGCCGATGTGCTGCTTTCAGGACACAGGGTGGCCCTCATCATATCCTCCCCAAGGCTTGTCCCGGTTCACACGGCCAGTCACAGCGTGACCACACCACGCTTGAAGTGCTGGCCCAGCTAGCACAGGCACTGTCTCACTACCATGCCTTCCCCAAAATGACCGCCCGGCTGACAGGCTGAACAACTTACCTTCATGAGCGCAGTCTCACCATTGCTCTGCTGGATATTTACAAAAGCTCCCGCTTCCAAAAGAATAGCCACGGTGGTTAAAAAGTTCTGTTTTTTTAAAAACAAAATTAATTCCAAAATCAGACCATTTTAGACGTTCTAAAACCTCATCATCATGAAAGACTGGGTAACTTCTAGGTGAAGGGGTGGCTGGCCACCACCTCCTGTTCAGTCACTGTGGGCCAATGCAGTCCTATGCTGGACCTCTGCCAAGCCCTCACCCAGCCACGTGCCGCCTGCCCTCGAGGCCACCAGAGGCTTAGCCTTCAAGTGGCTTCTATGTGAGAAGCTCTGCATATGCATCCTTTAAAATGACAATACATGGGAATATTTTAATTAAATTAACCAAAGACAACGTCAGTTGCAAACAATTTTTAAATTATCTAAGGTCTAAATCAATACTAGTACTTTAGATGTAATCATCAATACAAATTATTTCCAAATACATTTAGAAAGTGTAGCTAGAAAATTACCGATAACAAAACCCTTGTAACAGATCACAGATCAACCTGAACATTAAAGTGACCATATGACCATTACCATTCCACTACAGAACATTCCGAGTTATCTGACGCTGTGAATTTGCGAACCTTCTCAGCGGCATGGATGAGGGCCGTAGTTCCATTCTTCTGCCGACCGTTCACTTTTGCACCTTTGGTGATGAGGAGTCGCAGGAGGTCATCCTGTCCTCCCGCTGCAGCAAGCATCACTAATGTCATCCCACTGGAGTCCTTGGTTGGTTTGTTAATGAAAAGGCCTGTTAGTCTTTAATCGGAACAATTTTAGAAGCACGTCTCTTCAGCTGGGATGTTTCAATGTCAAAGCACTACAGTACACTTATTTACACATCTACTTAGTTTTTTCACTAAAATGTATTATGCAACAACTAGAAACAACCTCTAGAATTTTCTCACAAATAAACGTTACCATAAAATTTTACAACTTTCCTGTACTGAATCCCGAAAACACATCACTAGTCAGGGGTGCCAGCGCATCTCTGTGATGGCAGCTACTTAGGTGACTGAGGCAGAAGGGTCCCATGTTCAAGGACAGACTGGGCATCTTAACCAGACACTGTCTAAAAAAGAAGTTCCGAGGATGATACAGCTCAGGCACAGAACACTCGCTTAATGTGTGAGATCTAGTACTGCTGATAGAATTCTTGCCCCTGAAAATCCATAAAAGTACTGTAAATTTTCCTTAGGAAAATTTCATTAAATGGCCAAAGACAACATCCATCCATGTATGCACAAATACCTTTATCATATTTAGGCAAGAACCATTTGGAACAGTATGAGTAAAAAAGTGGTCATAGTAAAAAATATTTTAAGACATATAGGAAATAATATATAAATGTGTAAGAGCTATGCAAAGAAAAAAACCCATAAACGTTATTTAAATTTATAAATGAAGAGCTCACTCTACCAAATTATCCTGTTCATAGATGAAAGACTCAAAATGTCAATAAAAACACTGATTTTTCAGCCAATTTATACTATGCAATTTCAAATTCCAAACCTTTTTCTGAATTGTAAGCACAAAGGATTAAAACTTGAGAATACTCAACACAAGTAAACTAAGAAAACACAATCTTTTCTAAGCAAGACAAGACAGAGACCAGGAATAAAATACATGACTGGATGTTACCATCTCAAAGTAAAAACCCCAGCGGCTGTACAGGGTAAGCCACAGAAAAGCTGAGAGGTCATCTGGGGTGACAGGAATTACACAAACTAAAATTGTATGTACTACAGTTCTGCAACGTTTGAATTTTACAAAGTGAATATGCATTACTTTTGTCATTCAGAAATGAAAGTAATCTTGTTTTAAAAAAAAACAAACTACATTCCACACTCAGCTTTTCTAAGACTTGCTGCCAGAAATATTACCTCTTGGTCCAAGTTGTACTCTTCATCTGAGTTAAGCGCAACCTTTACAGAAATATAATCCCCATTTTTCACAGCGTCCCTCAACAAATCTAAAAAGAAAGGAAAGGTGGGTTAAGTTTTACGTATCCCGATTTGTTAAAAGGACTTGAACAATTCCAAAACCACTCACGACTTGGAACTGCATCTGCGGTGTCGAAAGTCTCATCTTCCCCATCAAGGTGCCTTTGAAAGTCTTCTAGTTTCATCCATTCTAGATGCAGGTCCATGCCCAAACTCAGAATGTGGTGCCTGCCGTCTGCAATACACAGAAGCCTTATTAACATCCACTTTTTCTGGACTATAGAAAATTTCAATGCCATTTATTAAACTTGGGGTGTTTTAACCAAAACTTTATGTATACTTTAAACATAGGCCATTATATAACAAAGTCATTTTTTCATTGCTAAGTGCTCCAGAGGCATAAGATAGGTGGCTGGGCATGGTGGCACATGCCTGTAAATCGCAGCACTCCGGGAGGCTGAGGGAAGAAGACTGCCACATTGGGCCCAGCCTGGACAAGTTAGCGACCTGGTAAGATTGTCTTAAAATAAAAAATGAAAGAGCTAGGGAAGTAGCTAGGTGCAAAGGCCCCGGGTTCAATTCTTAGCACAGCATGGAAAAAAAAAAGATAAAGATAACATGAAAAAAAAAAAAAAAACATGAAACTGTAAAATGGTAAAACATGAATTTTTAAGTACACAACTAATCTGCTCAACAGAATAAGAAATGAGGATGATTCAGGAAGAGGAATCACAAGTAATTTTAACATGTTTTTCCTACACTTGACCAATCTTCTTAAGTACTGCTTCCAACCGTTTGTATAGGTAGTCATTCTAAATATATAAATTTTACCAGTAGGGGCTGGGGATTTAGCTCAGTGGCACAGCGCCTGCCTGGCAAGCGCAAGGTCATGAGTTTGATTGCCGGTACCAGAAAAAAAATCGGAAAAATAAATAAATAAATAAATTTTACCAGTAGGGGCTAGAGATTTAGCTCAGTGGCACAGCGCCTGCCTGGTAAGCACAAGGTCATGAGTTCGATTCCTGGTACCAGAAAAAAAATCGGAAAAATAAATAAATAAATAAAATTTACCAGTAAATAAAAACAATTTTTTAGCACCCTCTCAGGCTGGGATCCCATAGGGCCTGAACTGCACCTGCAGACGACAGTGTAAGTCCCGGCTGGTTCCCCTTTCCTCCCATGTCTGACAGACTCACAGGCCCCTGAGCACTGAGCAGGGCCACGATCAGCCCTCATTACCACCGCAGTGCAGCCCTGAGATCTCAGTACGGCTCATGCAGAGCAATCCCAAAGGCCTATATGCTATTTAACAGCATCAGCAAGTTAGAGAATTTCACCTAAACCAGCTCAAAATACAGAGGTTAGGCAGACAACCTAGCAACAGAAATGAAATTTGTGAATGCAAGTCAGTCAACTTTTGCTAACACTGAGCACGACGACATTCACAGAGATAGCACAGCCTTTGCGTGACACACTACGGCTCCATACCCCAGGGGCCTGTGAGCTGTGTGGCTCTGTCACACAGCTTCTGAGTAACAGCAGCTCCCATTCACAAGGAGCATTATTCACATGAATTAATTCTAGCCCAACGTAACAGCAAGTGACAGGCCCCATCTTCACACTCAACCCTGTCTCAGACCATAGTGCAGACCCCATCCCCAGCCCAGTGACAGAGAAGCAGTGTTACAGTTCCAGACGTGGAAAGGGCACAGGAGGCCTGCTCAGGCTGAGACGGTACCGTCACTCACAGGACCACTTCAAGTAGCAGAGAGCAGAGCCAACCTGTCGACAGGCTTCGGCTGCAGCTCACACCCTCATCTCCCGGAAGGCAGTGATCCAGACATCTATGCCCGTTCTTACCACACGCTGGATGCCACCGCTGGGCCTGACGGGGTTAACTGTGAAGAACACACGCCTGTGTCTGGGGCCACGGGTCTGCTGACCGCCCCTTCATCCCTGGCGGCCTCTCTCGGTGTTATTTACATTCAGTTTATGCTGAAATCTGGGTTAGTCATGCCTCTTTCTTAAAATAATTTAGCCACAAATACATGTAGTCCTAAAAAAGTAGTTTTGAGCTTTACACAGCTTAGAAGTTCTTTAAATACTCTGGATACTAACCCTTTCTTCCCACCTTTTTAATGGTAGCTATGATAAACAGAACTTACTCTGCAATCAAGTCTATCGTTTTTATGGTATTTTTGTCTTCAGATATCTTTCCCAACCCCAAGGTCACAAATACTCTTAATGCTCTAAATATCTAACTCCCAAGTATCATCTGCATGGTGAAGGCCTTGCTCCATCAGGGTTTTATTTTGGAGGACTCTCTGCAGAAATGACGTTATCCCGACACGGTGACACAGACTCGCGCTCCCGGTACAGGGGTGTGACGGCCCCCCGGAGGTCTCTCTGCAGTGTTGTGCGGGTCTACTCCCCAGCACTACGGGAATTCTGTACTCACCGCTAGCTTCAGACAGTGAGCGGTGTCTACCACGGTCAAAACGGGGCTTGGCTCTTTATGAGTCTTCATAAATTTTAGAATCAGTACTTGGAAATTCCATGAAAAAACAATGGGTTTTTTGTGTGGTGCCAGAGTTGGAAGCCAGGACCTTGAACACGCTACGGAAGGGCTCAACCACTGACCTGCACCCTCAGTCCCACACTGAGATTTGTAAAGCAGCTTGAGGATAGTGGTGTAGAAACTGTTTTTCTATTAACAGCAGCATATGTAGATTTTAATGACTTGCTCAAGAAACATTTTGTAATTTTCTCCACATAACCTGAGCTTTTACCAACCATATTCTTAGCAATCTTATAAATATGTTGCTATTAAAAGTTAGCTTCTCTGCCAGGCGTGGCGGTGCACGGCTATAATCCCACCACACGGAGGGGCTGAAGCAGCACGATCGCCACAAGTCTGACGCCAGTAGGGGCTACACAGCGAGCTCAAAGCCAGCCTAACTTGGACTCTCGAGGGAGACCCTGTCACCAACAAAGGTTTTAAAAAGGTATGTACTGGCCACGGATCCCTGTAGAGGCAGGAGGATTGCCAGTTTGAGGCCAGCCTGGGCTATACCATGAGTTCAGAACTGCATAGTGAGATCTCGTTATTCAATCAATCAATCAATCAATAAGCACTATAGCTGCAAATACAGAACATACCACTGACTTTGGCACAGTGGTCTCCTATCCAGTCACCTCACTGCATTGCAATACATACGCTTAGAGGGCAAGAAGGGCCTCAGACACACAAGGCAAGCGCTCCCCTCACTAGACTTACCCTAGCCCCCCAGTCTGTAATACTGTACTTCCAATAATTTGCAGGTTCCTTTGTGTTTTCTACAGGCCATACCATCTGACCATGAGAGCTGTTTTTCATCCTTCCTTTCCTGTGTCCTTTTTTTTTTTTTTTGGTTTTTTTCTGGTACCAGAAATCGAACTCACAACCTTGCGCTTGCCAGGCAGGCGCTGTGCCGCTGAGCTAAATCCCCAGCCCCTCATCTTTTCCAGTGCTTTCTGGTTTTATAGCACAACGCTGACAGACAGTGGTGACAGATGACATCCTTGTTTTGCTCCTGATTTCAGAAAAATGTTACTTATGTTTAGCCATTATACAACTTTTACCAATGGTTTAGTGATTTTAAAACACTGAAAGCAGGGGCTGGGGATTTAGCTCAGCAGCACAGCGCCTGCCTGGCAAGCACAAGGTCGTGAGTTCGATTCCCGGTACCGGAAAAAAAACAAAAAACAAACAAAAAAAAAAAAAAAAAAAAGAACAAACAAACACTGAAAGCACCCTGTTTTCAGAGTTTTCTGGTTGTTGAAAAATCAAGAATGCAGCCAGCATGGTGGCATACCCCCATAATCACAGCATTTGGGAGGGTGAGGCAGGCAGATCACCTCCAGTTTAAGGCCAACCTGGGCTCAGTGAGTTCAAGGTGAGTCTGAACCACATAGTGAGATCCTGTCTCAAAAAAATTAAAAAATAAAAAAGAAACAAAAAGGTAAAGAACTATTAATTTTTTCCTTTACAATCTTGAAGGAAAACACATCACAAAAAAATTCTTAAAACAAGACTACATTCAATTTGTACAGGTTCTGCTTAGAATTTTTATATCTAAACTCATGGATGAGCTTGGCCTGTCATTTTCCTTTCTTATAGTTTTTTAATCTGGTTTTGATATTGAAGTTATAGTGGTCTCAAAGAATGTTTAAGAAGACTTCATCTGTTTGACAGCCCTTGAGTATAAATCCCTGTTCCTAGCGTGAAATCTATTTTAACTGCAATTTCATTGTTTATTTGGGCTTTTTTGGGGTGGGGGGCAGGTAGGAAAAGGGGACAGGATCTCACTATGCAGTTCAGGCTGGCCTTGAACTTTACTAGCCCAATGTGGCCTCGAACTCTTAGCAATCATCCTGCCTCAGCCTCCAGAGTGCTGGGATTACAGGTGTGTGCAACCACATCCACTACTTTGTTTTTCATTATTTGGAGCCGGGGATGGTGGTGCATGCCTGTAATCCCAGCACTCTGGAGGCTGAGGCAGCAGGATCACCACGAGTTAGCTCAAGGCCAGCACAGGCTACATAGTAAGTTCAAGCCCAGCCTGAACTACAGATGACTCGGTCTGTTTTTCTTTTTGTTTGTGTGTGTGTTCCTTATTGGAGATTGAACTCAGGATCTTTGCATTGTGCTACATCACTAGCCCTTTTTAATTCTGAGGCAGGGTGAGACTAACATGCTAACTGCCTGGGCTGGGCTCCAGCTTTTGACCCTCCTACCTCAGTCTGTCACAGTGCTGGGATTACAGGCATGTCCCGCCACACCTCTCAGTCTGAGCTGATTCTGTTAAAGTGTAGTTTTCTAGGAATTTCCCCATGTCACTCATTTTTCAAACCTATTGGTAAGAAATTGTACATAGAATTCTTTTATTTTTTCCATCTGTAACTGAGGCTGGTTTTTCACGTGAAATACTATTTAAGGCTTTAACTTTCTCCTGTGTCAGAAGCTTGTCTATTTCTTTAGTCTTTTCAAGAAATAAACTTCTGGCTCTACTGCTGTTCCCTACTGCATCTGCTCTTTATAGTACGCTACCTTTTAGGGTTGCTTTATTGCTTGAGACGGTCTCTCACTACATAGTTCAGGCTGGCCTTGAACTCAATAGGCAGCCTCCACTGGCCTCAAACTTGCAGCAATCCTCCTGTCTCAACCTCCCAAGGGTTGGGATTACAAGGGTATGCCACCATGCCCATCTTATAGTATCTTAACAGCAGTACCACTACTTGACATCTACTTTTGGGACACCCACTCCCTCATCCCCGTCCACTGGTCCCAGAAATTATCCCAGTTTCCTGCAAACTCAACAGTGCCTCCAAAGCATGTTCCGTCAAGGTAGCTAGGACATAGCTGTTCCACAGAAAGAGAGTGTTCCCAGAATATCCAGGCTGTCATATATTGTAACTTATTTTTAAAATTCTCTTAATTTCTAAAGATTCAAACATCACACTTTCTTCAGATGCACCTGTTTGTCCTGTTCGCTGTTACACGCATGTCTTGCTCCTCCCCATAGCTCTGTACTCTGCTTTACCTTTCTCATTAATTCCAACGCCCACAGGTACTGCTTACAACTATTTTATGTGGTTTTATTTACTACAAGTTGAAAGGGAAGAGTGCAAACCACATGTGGTGGCGCAAGCCTATAACGCCAGGAACAAGGGATGTGAAGGTAGGAGATTGTAAGTTTGAGTCCTTTTTGAGAAACGTAGTTGTGACCCTGTGTCTCAAATAGAAAGTGCCGGGGATATATAGCTCACTGACAGAGCAGCTCTGGGTCCAATCCTGAGTACTGAAACAATCAAAGTGTATGTGGTAATTTTCTAAAAAGAATATTAATACACGAGTTGCAAGTTCTGAAAACTTTGTAACTTCTCAATGTGCTAAGCATATTACAGGGATATAGAAAATATTTTTTGATACATTTAGAAGTCAAAGAATGACTCAAGTCTTCAATATAAACTTTTTATTCACAAAATCCAAATAAAATGTTATTTTCTGATCATAATTATAGTGGGAAAGAATAACCAGTATGGGGCACTACTCTGAAAGCATTCCGCAAAACAGGATCAAACAAACTCACCCAGATTCTCATCTGCTGGACACACACTGTCCATACCCTCCTGCTCGTCCTCTGCGGCAATCTGTGCCCAAGTGTCCGCTTCCTCTCTAGTATTTCTGCTTTCTTTCAGTGAGTACTTGTTTTCCTTGGCTTTCTGGTCTTCTGTGGTTTTACAATCCAGTATTTCTTCTTTTTTCCAATTATTCTCAGGAACATCATTTTTTTCTTCTGTTGTTTTTTTAAATAAACTGAATGCATTTCTGATTTCCTTAAATGCTAAGGCAAAAATAAAAACTGATGGTAAGTACGAGTCACAGATTTCTGTTGCAATCAGAAGAAAATCTGAGTTAGCATCAGGCATATTTTCTTAATTTTTACTAGCATCTATCTGCCTTGGTTATGAAAACGTATGGTCAGATTTATAGTCAACGCCACAAAGTCATTTCGCATTGTATCTTACCAGCAGCTGCTCAATATCCAATGGACAGAATGTGCGTGCGGCGGGTGGGGGATGACGATGATACGGTGGCCGATTAGGTCTTTTGACTACTCTCCTACCACTTTAACAGGGACTGCTCAAGGTGATGAGCCTCAGAATAATGCAGTGAAATTCTTGCTATACCACCAAATTTCCCAGCCTGTCAAAGACATCAGCCTGTCTACTACAGCAGCTTAGAGCTTGAGCAGAAATGGTTTCGGGGTTGGGGGGGGAAATAGCCAGGTGGGAGAACACTGACGGCACACCTGGTTAAAGTACTTACTGCCACTAGTGTGGGGTTTTTTTTTTATTTTTTTTGAGACACGGTCTTGCTATGTAGTTCAGGTTGGTCTTGAACTGTGTAGCACAGGCTAGCCTCCCATATGCAATGATCCTCCTGTCTCAGCCTCCCAAGTGCTGGGATTACAGATGTTTGCCACCACATCCAGCCTGCCACTAGCTTTGAACTAAAGATAAAACTGAGAAGAAACACTGACAAGATATAGCTCAGTGATACTGCCTGTGCTTTCTAGTGTGAGTTAAGGCCTTGGGTTCAATCTCCAGCAGTATACACACACACACACACACACACACACACACACACACACACTAAACTGGGAAAAGAACTAAGAAAGTATTGACAATTACAAAGTACTCTCTTATAAATTTGAGGTTTCATTAGCAGGAATACTGAAAATGAGACTCTTAGTAACTAAAATTACAAAATGGGACAGATAACAGTTCCATTTAAGGCTGTATGTTCACAGCAGAAATGCACCTGAAATTGACACACAAGGTTGAAGAAGGTAGGCCGGAGATAAAGCTCACTGGTAGAGCCCTTGCCTAGCACAGGAAGACCCTGAACCTGATCCTCACAACTGGGCAAAATAGCCCCAAACACACATACATTAGTAACATATATTATATATGTATTATACATATATGTATATAAAATAAAACATAAATTATATTTTAATTATTATTTCAGTTACATACAGCTTTTGAGAGAAAATATTCCACTTTATAGAATCAATACTTCAAGAGAAGACATGTTCCAAATACTTTTCATACAGATAATACTCATCTGCTAGGGCTGAAACACTATAACGGCGGTTTCTAAAGAAAGACTACTTGGTTCCAAGTTGGAGATTCTTAATTTTTGTATATCGTGAAGTGACCCAAAATGTGTATTTGATATATTTTGTGGTAATGGGTAACCCAGTTCCTTCCCTCTGAGCTGCATCCCCAGGGCTTTTTGTTTTTCATTTTGAGACAAGGTCTCACTAGGTTGCTAATTTGCCCAGGTTGGGCTTGAACTTGTGATCCTCCTGCCTCAGCTTCCCAGAGTGCTGGGATTACAAGTGTGCGCCACTGCACCAATATTTAGGCAACTGACAGAGTTTAATATAATTAGTTTTTTTGTTTTGTTTTGTTTTTTTCCAGTACCGGGAATTGAACTCATGACCTCGCACTTGCCAGGCAGGCGCTGTGCCACTGAGCTAAATCCCCAGCCCCTATAATTAGTATTTTAAACAAGTCTGTTTCATATAGCATCCACTAAAAGACATCTTTACTTTCCTGCCATAATTAAATTCTCCGTAATTCTAACCTATTATGCCATACTGAAAACAACAATGTAAACAGAATACACGATATACAATATATACACGTACTATTTAAACATTTCATATATATAAATGTTATTTGGGCTAACCATTCCTAACCAAAGATCCAGAATCTAAAACTTTCTGAGCAATGATGTTATACAAGTGGAAGATTCTACCTGTAAATCTCATTTAACAGATCAGTCAAAACACAGATAAAGTAACTAGACATGCCTGTAATCCCAGGCTGGGGAGGCTGAGGCAGGAGGATGGCGATGAGCTGGAGGCCAGCCTGAGCTATATGGCAAGACCCTGTTTTAAAGCAAACAGCACAGGTGAACTAAAACTACTGTGTAAAATTACCTTCAAGGTATCTATTTAAAGTATACATGAAACATAGAGGGAAAAAAAAAGAAGCATAGAGGAATGTCACTTTTTAGATGTCAGTCCCTACTAGCAAGATGTCAGCACACGCTGGGAAGCCTCCCTAAAGGGTGTAGTGTGGAGCTTCTTATAGATGTACTACTGCTTATAGATGTAGGTCCTACCACACAGATATTACACATATGTTCCAAAATCACAAAAAAATGCAAGAATCTGAAATACCTTTGGTCTCAATGATTTTGGACACTCAAACTGTGTAATAAAATTAGGTAACTAGTTAAACAGAAGTAGTAGTAGAAGGCTCTAAATTCTGCAGTGAAATTTTCCAGTGCTGTGACATTGCAGCTCACCTTCACAGTGAGTTCAATTTTTTTGTTTAAAAAGACAGTAATAGAGCTGGGGTGCAGCTCAGAGACAGAGCTCTTGCCTTACATGCACAAAGCCCTGAGTCTGACCCCCAGAACCACAAAAAAATAAAAATAAAAAGACAGCAATAAAAAAACGATAAAATGTTAGTATTTACACTTACTCTTTAATCCTTTTGGTTCTTTTCGGCCTTTTTCTTCCTTTTCTGAATCATATCTTTTCTGAAATTTTTCTTTGGGTTCATTTTTTTTTAGCTCTTTCTCCTGAAAATAAAAATGTAAGACCCTAATCAAGAATGAGTAAAGAGCCGAGGATTTAGCTCAGTGGCACAGATCCTGCCTGGTAAGTGTGAGTCCTGAATTTGATTCCTGGTACTCCCTACCCCCCAAAAAAATAATGGATACAGCTGATGCTGTACATTTGAAAGCTGAAAAATATACAACTGTCATGTCCATATCTGTCTGTCTGTAATACAGTACATGACCTCTGATCAGTCTATGTCCTTCCCATTGCTTTCTCAGTGAAGAGTAGCCTTTGACTATAACTTACACGTATCAAATTCAAGACACAACACCTCTGGAAGGCTGAGGCAGGAGGATCGCAAATTTGATCCCAGCTTGGGCAACATGGTGACTTAATAAGACTGTCCCCATCAAAAGAGAAACTACATTAAAAAACCAGCAGTATCTGTTCTAACAATTGTTTGAGGCTTTCTTTCTCTGACTTGGTTGCTTTTACTTCTATACTACACTAGTCTTGCCAAGTAGCAACTGCGTTGTGCAGCATGACAAGGACTGGGGAATTCTTGATGAATGTAATGTCCATCCCAGTTTGCAATAGCATCTCTCTCTAGTTCTCAGTGACACAAACATGACAGAACCTTCTGTACTGTCATCAGGAGCAAGTTTTCCAGATGACTATTGTGCTGAGTGTCAAAATGAAGAATTTATGGTATATTACTATTGATTCACTTTGCATTAAAATATATTGAAACAAATTAAGTTTCTCCACTGACTTGAGAATTTCACCAATAATGAAGTTATAGCTGGGCACTGGGGTGCACAGCTTTCATCCCAACACTCTGGGAGGCTTGAGGCAGGACTGTAAATTCAAGTACTACCCAGTTAACATAGCAAAAAAATGGCTCAAAATAAAAAGGCCTGGGGGTGTATCTCAGTGTCAAGGCCCTCGGTTCAATTCCCAGTACTATAAAAACAAGACGTTACGTAAAATAAAATTCCAAAATCATTTTCCCTAATCTTTCTAACCAAGGATAATTACTCTAGCTGGGTGTGGTGGTGCATGCCTGTAATCCCAGGACTCTGGAGGCTGAGGCGGGAGTTTGAGGCCAGGCTGGGTCACAAAGTAAATTTGAAGACAGCCTATATTACACAGTCAGACTGTCCCAACAAACAAGGAAAAGAGGAAGAGGGTTATTTTTATTTCTCCACATTATCCTTTTATCCTTTTGAGTCTGGATAGGTAACTTTTTTATTTACACTGCATGGATATTTTCACATGATTGAGCTCATATGTATGTATGGTTTTCTCCTCCTTTCCTACACTGACCTCCTAACACTCCAGTTGCTATCATGGCCCCATTCTGATGTACCCAGATTTTCTTAACCTGTTCCTCCATGACTTGAAAATCAGTTTTTCACTACAGAGTATAATACTTTCCCCCTTTTAAAATGATTTCCTTAAGGTCAAACTGGGAATAATAGATGAAAAGTGATCTTTATAGCCCTTGATAAAATTGTATTTGACCTTTCATAACATGGAAAATATTTCCATTTTGAGTTATATAAATCTACTTTTTCACAATGGGATAAAATATTAAATGTTTTGTAAGAATTAACAACGTACACTGTGTAGTATTACTGAAGTAAAAAGTGATATATTCTTTTTGTTTTGTTTGGTTTTGTTTTTTTGTCTTTTTGGAGACAAGGTCTCGCTATGCAGCTGAGGCTGGCCTTCAGCTCACTTTGTAGCCCCGGCTGGCCTCAAACTTGCAACAATCCTCCTGCCTCAGCCTCCTGAGAGCTGGGATTACAGGAGTGCGCCACCATGCCCAGCTTAAAAAAAAAAAACGATATATTCTTAAAACAGTGGGGGAAATGTCATGTAGGATGTGAAAAGATGATACAATCAGCTGGTGAAGCTGTAAAATTTTCTCCCAATGCTACATTATCATCTGAGTATCTCTAAAAAAATTCTGATTGTCAATAAATTAGCTCTGGATTTCCTACTCGTGCTTTGTCTAAAGGAAGACAAGGCAGAGACTGAGAGACGAGCTGGAGACAGGTGGGAGGCTCCTCAGCACTGGAGCAGCCCAGGCGGTCTCG